TATTTTTTTTTTTTTAGATAACCAAAATGGGAAGTGCAGGTTGTAGGTTTTCAGTGCAAAATCCTTAATTGTTCTATCCTGACTGTTAAGCTTTTATCAACAGAGAAGCAGCCTCAAGATAAAGCCTCTTTCTATGCAGGTTTAGTTTCATTAGCATTCCATACCGTTTAAAAACGCATACAAATTCTCTAACTAGGATGTGTGATGTCAACCGAGATGATAGTTATTCTGATTTTGGCTTTAGACTTGTATCCGTTTTCAGACCCCTTTTTGTTCCTTCAGCACTCCATCTCTGAAAAGAACCTCCTAAAAACACACTTAAGGCCAGATTATACTTCTGTAACCACGCACATCAAATGTCGCTTGCGTCTGGTCACAAACCATTTTTGCTGGTATGCTTCTGCAACGTCGGTCTGGAATTTCTAGGGACACACAGCAGTTTCCCTCCAAAGCACCAGGGGGAGCCTATTTCAGAACTCGCAAGAACTTCTGCGGATGGTCACGAGAACTTCTGTTTATTTTCCAAAACATGTCTGAACCATCGTACAAGTGGTTGTACTTCTGAAACTCCTCTGGCTGTCTGTGTGGTCGTCCTTCGCCGCAAGCGACATTTGATGTGTGCAATTGCAGAAGTATAATCTGCCCTTTAGCCGGCTCTATTCTTTTTCACTTTATCTCCTCCTTTTGAACTACACTGAAAAAGGCTTTCTTTTCCGGTTAGGTTTGTCAGGGTCCCTTTTGGCCATTGATACTCCAGTTTACACAAAATAGTGAACAAAATGCTTAAAAAAAAAAAAAAAAAAGCTGCAGCAACAAACAAGCATAGCAGTACTTTTTCATGCTTCGGCGTAATGGCGGACCGCTAGCCAAACAGCATATGAGTTACGCTTGGAGCCTACATAGATAACGTACTGTATAAGGGGCAAGTACGGAAAATGCTTGATTGATAAAGAAGTAGCCAATCCACTTTCGACAGTAGGCGAAGTGGATTGGATTTTACTTTTTGGGGGGGAACCATGAGTGCAAGAATGCCAGCAATCCATTAAGTAACTTTAGATGAATCTGGACACTTAATTCCACTTATGTTTATTTCACATTAGAGCCATCATCCACACTAATGGTAGTAAACAAATTTCTGGACCCCAGTTTAATGCTGAAGCTCAACTAGGAAGACAGAAAGTCACAGATCACTAACCATAATATCTTTCACTCTATCAATTTTAGTAAATAAATAAATCATATAAAGATATATTTACATTTGAGATTCTTCAGGATGTCAAACATTTGATTGTGGGGATTTTGTTAAAGAAAAATGTCCCTTTTTGGGGGATTTATGAAGTGTATTTTTCTTCTATGTTTGTTTGTAGATTCTCAAGGTTTTTTTTCAAGGCTTTATAATGTAACTTGAAATCAGACTTTTGGTCTGATATCAATGTGGCAATTATTTATAAAATCAAAAAATATTTAAAGGAAAAAAAAATTGCAAATAATTTTAATCACCTCCTTTGTATGTAAAGTCCAGGAACTTTTGTTGGGCTCCTATCAGCAGGGGGGATATTCATTGCGAGGTGTGAGGCAATGTGAAGGACAGTTGAGGTAAAAACTAACTGTGTGCTGCAAAATGTGGCTGGGGAGAACACTGCAGCATCATCATACAGTTCTGCTGCTGCTTGTGAAAAGAGTGCATGTAGGTATTGATGAGCTCGACCAGCTTGGCTCAGCTTTCTGCCGCATCAGCTGAGAGCCTCATGCCTTTCCCTATATGTCACAGGAAAAGCTGGCAGATGTCCACAAGGTTAAAGTATATGCTGTAATGCGGCTGCATAAAAATATCAATGCAAAATCCATTTTGGTTGCGCAAGATTCATAAAATATCAACCCGTACATTTTACACATAAACTACAAGCTGCACACAGGAGAAGGCTTTTCATAAAAAGAGGAGCAGTTAAGCTACAGCCGCTCTCAGCCAAACAATAAGGGGGTCAGAGGCTGTGCGTGCTTTCTCTGGATGTCCACCGGTCTGCTAGTTCTGTGGGTGGAAGCTAATTGAAAGAATATTGATGAATGCTGGAGCTGCATTTTTGAGAAGTGCTGCCGCTCTTCAGTACCCACTGAAGTGTTTTCACTGCTTGTTTGGCTGCAAAAACAAGCAAAGACAAGGTGTGAAAGGCCTGGGTTTGCTACATCAAAAGCTTTAAGGCATCTTGTTTTAAATAAGCAAGCAAGAAAAAAATGTGTTGACAGAAATGAATCTCCATTTTACTTAGTTTCAATCAAACTGTTCTGATAAAATATCCTCATGTTTTACCAAATCGCCTGTCTTCACCTATTTTTTTAAATGCAAAGTTATAATTAGCTTCTGTCTTTTAGCCATCTTGAAAAACTGACTAGATTGCTGTTGATGATATGGTGCAGATAACATATTACTTGTTGCTATAGTGAAATACGCATAGATGATGGAAGCTTTCATTCTAAGAAATGCTCAAATTAGAACAATGGCTTTCTGTTCAGAGAGATGCAACTGTATTTTTTTTCAGCAGAACAGTATATTCTCATCTTCTTGCAAGCTAAGAGAAGATGACACTTTCTATTCATAGACACAACTGTTGCAAACAATGGCTGTTTAAATGCCTAAGTTTAAAAAAAAAAGAGATACACTGAAACACTTCCTACACAACACAGAGACAGCTTATGCTAGATTTGGACAGAATCAAAAATAGCCTACTATACAGTTGTATATAGATTGTTATGGTACATTTTACAAAGTATAAGAAAAGGTATGCTTTCATGTTTTAGTTTTTAGTTTTCCAGTTAGCACAGGGCAGACGTTATACTTCACTACAAGAACAATGTAGAAATAAGTAACATTTTCTTAGAATAAGTGTATTTTCCCTTTATTTTATTAGATAAACAAGATGATTTGCCAATGGAATTAGTACTTTTACTCTTAAAATAAGATAATCAGATAATATTCATATAAGACAATGCAATTTTTTTTTTCTTTTAAATCTAAATTGTCTTGTTCAATTGGCAAAGCATCTTACTTACCTCCTCAGTTAAAGAAAAATGCAATTATTTTAAGAAAAAAGGACATATTTAGATTTACAATTTTTTCAGTGGTTTCTAATATCATTTTAGCTTGATCTTCTACCCCTCTACCAGAGCAGAGTTCGTAGTTTATTTGCTTAATCGTGTCCAAGCAGAAACTTCCTTACTACTGGTCTAAGGTTAAAAAAAGAAAAAAAGAAAAAAACTAAAAATAGTCATCCTGCTTTATCTCTTTTGGAGAACCCAGTAGCTTGATGCTACCAACACCATGCTTAACAGTTAACTGATTGGAGTATCTAACATTGATTTCCCAAAGGTATACTTCTCGTAACTTAGGACAAATAATAATATAACTTGCCCATTTCACCTAAATGTGAGATATAAATTGATTTTCTCAGTATTTTCATTTTTTTTTTTGAGCGAAAAAGATTGAGTGAAAGGTTTAAAGGAGAAGAAAGGAAGTCATAGCCCTGTATAAACAGATTTATGTAACATGTCTGTAAGTGAAGGAAGGTGTGATTTAGTTATTAAAGAGTTTAGTAATTAAACAGGGTCTGTGTAAACAGTAGGCCAAGCAAATTGACTGCTAAAACACATGGATTAAGGAGGAACAGTGCTTCATGTATACCACTGGTCAGACAGGTTGGAAGTGTTATGAAGTAGAGCAGTTCACTAATATTCAGCCAAGAGAAGTTTCTTCAGCAGGCTGGAGAACAAAAAAAACATAAAAACATCCAAACACCATTGAGTTTTTGAACCTTCTATAACAGGAAATCTCCAACATTTAGATTCTAACACGACCTATCAACCCTAGTGAGTTCCACTCTATGATTTTTAAAAACCCAAAAATAATTTTCACTACTGACAGATTTAAATTGTAACTATTCTCTTTCAACCAAAAGGGTTAGATATTAACAAATGAACAGACACTGGAGCTGTTTGGTGAAAGACACTTTTTTGGATTTTTTATTTTTTTTTTTTCCATGTGATCATTTGAGCTTTTTGGAGGTCATTTTGGAGCAAGAGCCCTTTTCCTTAGTCAGCACTCCTCAGGTCAAATAATATCAAATATTAAATAATCTATTGGTAAAATATGCAGTTTTAACCGGTTATTTTGTTAAATTCTGAAAAACCTGTAACTGAAATGTAGAGAAATATTTGGTCATCAGGCTAAACCAGAGGCTCTGGCCCATATTCTCATGCACCAACTGTTGTACTGAATCATTGGTGGCAAAGGACAGCAGAATACTGCCAAAGCATGTCTATTTGTATAATATCTATAAAATCCTTCATAGCTCAGATTTAGATTAGAGCTATGGACAGTACTAAATAAATTAATACATGCATTGAAGGCTAAACCTTTTAAAGGTTTACTTCTGAGCAACTGCCTCTTTAATAAAAAAAAAAAAAAAAAAAGAAAAGACCTTTTTATACACTGGGTTGTTTTAATCATCTGAAACTGCCATGTAATGTGTTTTCATTACAGGAAGAAATATTTAAATATTGATTTTTTTTTTACCAAAAAGTGTTCTGTCGATATTTATGGAGAGCTTCAATAGCTTTGAGCTCTATGGGGAAAGGCATTTTCAAGAGACAGAAGGGAGAGAAGTGGGATTTATTAGCAACATAAGATTGGAACCATCTTAGAAAGATACGCACACCAAAATGATGCAGAACATTACTGACTCAACAATGTGATCCAATGGGAAGCCTGATAGCTTTTACTTCCACCTACTACATAGACTTGTCTGCGTTTAAATTGAAGAGGGTGTATTCAGTGTGGTAGATGTTTTTCTTTTAGCAATTCTATTGGGTGTATAGGGACCAATAACATCCATACAAAGGGGCAAGTATTCTGGTTAGCTGACTCAGAAACATCTCAATATGTACTAAACACCAGTGCTAAACACCTTTTCCCCCGATGTTCCTCTGAATTTCTCTATTTCTTTGAATATTTCCAGCTTCCTGCAGATTTTCAGGAGCGTCTGACCATGCATCTGGAAGATTCTCCTCTCTGCCATGACTACCCTGACTCTACTTCCCTTATTGCCAACGTGCTTGAAAAGCAAGATGAGGCCTGCAGCAGCAGCCAGGCGTCTCGCTCTCCCAGTCCCCAAACCCAGAACCATACTTTTATTCTGGAGAGACTTGGGCCAGGAGAGCGCCTGGGGCTTAGAGCAGCCTACAAATCCGACCTTTACAGCAGCGACACAGCTCTGTACTGCCCTGATGACCGCCAGCGTGAGAGGAGGCCGAGCATGGATGTTCACGGTCACAGGACATTCCTGTATGGACCACAGAACTCCACCGACAGCACTCCAGAGGAGGGTTCTGTAGGACTGAGAGCTAGTTTCTCTCAGGAGCATTTTTCCAAGTTCCCTGCCGCGCTGGCTGGAGGCTCTAGCTCCTACTCCAGCTTCAGTGGAGGTGGTTCTGAGGACAAAGGGAATGACCCACCAAGCAGTGCAGCTTCCTCACCGCACCACCACTCTCTCTACATGGAATGGCGAGATGCAGGGGACTATGAGAGAAAGAGTGACTCGTCCTGGGAAAGGGACAGTCCAAGGAGTTTTGGGAATGCTCATCCTTTTCAACAGACCGAGTTGAGTCACCATCAGAATGGCAGCTCTCCGGTCTACAGTCGTACCATGTCCTCCTGTTTCAGTGAGCCCTACGAACCGCTGCCTCCCTCTTCCTCCCCAAGTGTTGCTTATGGAGACAGTCGACGAGGCAGTACTTTGGCCCCTGAGGAGGAGGAGCTGATTGGTCGATGGAGACAGCTTAGTGTTGAGGACCTTAGTGCCCACTCGTACCGCAGCCCAGGCAGAGCCTCACCTTACAGCTTCTCAGAGCAGCACTTTTCTGTCCGCCCTGCCAAAATCCGCCTCGGGCCGCTCTACAGCAGCTTCCAGGAGGGGGCAGACTACTACCATCATGGTGCAGATGCCATGGACCCTGTGTGGGTCGCAGCTAGTGCCGAATGCAGCCCTGGCCTGCGGCAAGCACACAGCCAAGCCCACCTGTACCGAAGTGAGGACAGCCAGGGGTCGGAGCACAGTCTCTACCACTCAGGCAGCTCCAAAGAAAGAGAGGGCAATGTTGCAGCTGGAGGTCAGAGCACAGAGTATGTTGACCCCAGTCCCAATAGCTCCACTGAGTCTCTCAACCAGAGGTCCTTGGAGATGGCCGCAGAGCTGCAGCACTATCAGACAGAGATGCACAACATGCCTGCACAGGTAAGCCAGCAGCCACCACCGACTCCACCGCCTCCTCCACCCTACAACCAAAAGTTTGGCACTTTGGGACTTTCCAGAAAGGACAGTCTTACAAAGGCCCAGCTTTATGGGACTCTTCTGAACTGAAGGACTTTCAAATAAAGTTTCAACTTTGCCATGCCAAAAGACACAAAGCCCTGGTTCACCAAGTGATGTGGCTGCCACCATTTCACTGAAAATGGTTTGAAAAAACTGCCAGGAGCAAAAGATGGATCTACCGAAGATTCTGAAGATGAATCTACCGAAGATTGTTTAGGAGCCGTGGCTTTATGGGAGAAGACTGCAAATATTTAGGGGAAGTTAAGGCGAAAACAGCCAGAGAGGAGTTCATGACACTTTTAAAATTTATAGGAATGTGTGTTTATTTACGTTACAAATGTATAAAAAAAAAAATAAAACTAAAAAACTTGAGTGATATATTTTATAAGTAGTTGTTGGCAACAAATTTATTCAAAAAGTGCAGTTCTTGTTGGTATTCTTGAAAGCTGTATATATGTTGGAAACTGCCAGTGCCATGTTAGAAAGCTGAGTGTAAAGCAGAGATGAGTCTCTACGAGCTGCACATAGATTAGTTTCAGTCATTATTTTTAATCACCTGAAACAATCTTGGCCTTGGAGTGATTAATGAAGAAATCAATAATGAATTAATCCCTTAAATGACAAACAGACATTTCTCTTTTGTTAATTGATTTCAGAAGTATTGATCAATGTGATTTCTTGTTATTGATGGAACGTTTTGAGATGTAAACAACTGTCTTAGCTGTCAGTATTTATTTATAACATTTTTTGCAATTATGTTTTCTCCTTGAGAGGTTCTCCTGCCCCCTTTCTACCTCAAATTTGGATTCCCACACCCACCTAAATATCTTTCTTTGGCAATGATGCATGGTGATATATTTTGTTGTTTTCTTCCCTTAATAAAGCACAGATTAAAAGTAAAGCTCCAGGTGTGGATGAATTAAAAATACTATTTTTTTTTTTACATTTTCTTTTAAAAGAAAAATGTTTGTCTGCTGATCCAACATGAAGCCACCCGAACTTATAGAGGGACCTTTTATCGTTCAGACTCAGCTTCCTGCAGCACCGCGGGGAATCTATGCTGAGTCACCATAAGGCTCAGCTTATCATTGTAGTAATTTAAAAATAGTTGCATGGAATGATTTTTGCCATGATCAGCAAACCCGACAATAGGAGAAGAATTATTTGTCAGAGAAGTCCCAGAGATGGAACAAAAAGCGCAATAGTTTATATTTATATCAAGAGCACAGTGTCTTGCAAATGTTTTGATACCCCTTTATATTTTAATTTATAGAAACCACCTATAGCAATGTATTTGTGTGAGAATTTTGTAATAGTCCAACAAAAAGTTGTGCAGAATTGCAATGCAGAAGAAAAGGCTTCAATTTCTTGTATGAAATACAATTTAAGAATTCACTGCAATTGTGATGATTAGACTTGAAGATTAGTCAGTGCTTTTAAAAGGCACATTTTTCTTCCCATTATGGCTGCAAGTGGTTTGGATTATGCCTCCATCAGCTTTGCTCCCACAGAGATGGAAACTTTGCCTTTTGTGGTTCTGTAAACTTACTTCATTATAGATGTGTGTTTAGTGTTGTCATCCTCCTGGAAATTGAAATGCAAACAAAAAATATTCTTCGCAACAACAACAAAAATCTCCTGCATTGTCCTGAATTAACTCCATCCATCTTACCATCTGACCAGCTTTTCTGTGTCTGCAGAGGGAAAGCCTGCTAAGAGCACAATGCTGCCACAAGCATCACAAACAAATTAGACTAAAAAAAAAAGAGAAATACAAGAAGACACCAGACTTTTTAAGAACAACTGCGATCTATTGTCCTGCTTTACGTTTATGCACTTCATTTTGATCACATAAAGCCCAAGTAAAATGTGCTTTTAATGAGCAAACACAGGAAAAAAATAAAAAAGGACCATCAGTTTTACAGCGTTATCAGCAAAACTAGCATTGCAAGTGTTACTAAACAGAAGCTATTTGAAACAGAAAATCACATTTCAAAATACAGCATTAAAAGCTGTAAACATTTTTGTCATTTGTCAATTTTTCTTTCCGTACTAACAAAAAAGTATAAATCCATGTTTTTTTGTTAGCTATATTAAGCCTTTCATATGCTTAAGATGTTTTTACATGCATATGTGATTTAAATTTTAAAAGCTTGATGCTATTTTTCTTTATTGCCGAGCAGCAACCGTTGTTCTGTAAGGTAAGGTATTGCCGTAAAAAAAAAAGTAATAAATATTTTGATATCAATATTGAATGTGGTTAGTTCCAGCCAAAAGAAATGTCCTGACAGTTACCTTTAGTAATGTGAATTTTATTTATTTTTAGAGGTAAATAGTATCAAAAAGAATAGTGTGACAGAGCAGGATGTGCTTATTTCGTTTGGGTAAGAAGAACCCATTAAGTTAACAGCCTTGGAAATTAAATCGCTTCTGTGATCAGCGGTTTCATTGTTTGTTTGCTGATGAATTTCCTCTCAGGTGGCACTGCAGAGGTAAAAAGTTATTTACGAATAAGGTTGAAATCTGTCCACGAGGGGGCGCCAGAATGCCGCGGAAGCACAGTCATCAGGGGTCCATTTCATGTTGTCTAAACCTTAAAACAGGGGAAATCTGGCTTTTCCAATTCACAAATAGTTTCCTCAACCTATATTTCAGTCACTGCAGTAACATTCTCCCCAGAGCTAACTTGGAGCAGGTTTTATTTAATAAACTCAGTGTCCTCTGTCTGTGCTTGTTTTTGGTTTTTGCTAATATGAACGAGATGCAGATCATTTTATTTTTATTTGGTTATATTTACAGTACATGAAGAAATACTGAAATTATTTTCAGGTTACACGTAAATAGATTCATTAATTGGGGGGACATGAATTACTTTAGGGTTAGGATTCACTTGATAATAACAACCTAATGAGCCTACTGGCACAATCTGTAGCCATTCTATGGGACTGAAGGCTGCTTATAACAACCATTTGTCTGCAAGCAGCCACTTTACTGTGTAAAAGAAGACTAAATCAACATGAGGCGGGACGCATGGGAGGAACCACAGGTTCTATATATTAGAACAACGTTTTTATTCTTCATCCTCACCTGCAGCCAGAAGATTTCACCCAAATAAATACATTGATCTACATTCAAGAAATAATCCCATAATATTTTCACAGTAACAACTATGGTAAGCCAATTTGACATGTACTAGTTTTACTGAATATGTATTCCTGATATCTGGGGAAAAAAAAAATTCTTTGTCTAAATGACCATTTCAAACAAAATGACACACAAATAAAAGAAACACTCTGGATCTCTATAAATGTAAATTCAGATCTCCTTATTCCTAATATTGTTGGTATTATTCTAACTAGGAAGAAATGTATTTCAGATATCATAAATACCTTCCTGATATCTAAAAAAAAATGTCTTTGTCTAAATGACCATTTCAAACAAAATAAGTGTAAAAACAGCCTGCCATAATCCACTTCATATAAACCTACGCATTATTTTAAGCAACAATCTTCTTCACCGTTTTCCACTCCTTTGTAGTTGTAGCTGTCTTTTAAACCTATTCTCCTTATTTATTTATCTATTTATTTTCTATTCTGCATTAAAATCTCTAATTCAAGTGGGGTGAAATATCCACTTCCTGTTTCCTGTTGTCATGGTGACTTGTCAAATCGGTGCTCCACAGATAATAGCTTTTCATACTTGTTGCGCATGCGCTTAACTCTGAGTGGACCTAATTAAAATTGATTGATCTAATTGATAGCAGCTGTTGTGTCAGAGTTTCTGACTTTGTCTAGATCAATTTAGAGTTGCAGATTTGAATCTGAATTTGTTAAACCTGCTTCGAAACTGCAAAAATGTTAACATGTTAATTTCGTGCATGGTTTAAATAAACACTCAAAGAGCACCAGCAGTAATGAGAACATTTATTGTAAATGTTGGTTATATTAGTTCAGCTATTATGAATGCATTGCGGGTCTAGTTCCTTTGATTCTAGTGTTTGAGCTTTGATATTATGTAAGATTAAAACATATAGTCTTCAGTAAAGTATTCAAAAAGTAAATACAATCCATAATGGAAAAAATACCAAATGTATTATAATGTTGTTGTTTTTTTAATACAAATTGGTGTGAAAACATGTTAGCCTGTCACCACCTAAAAATGCAATGCATTCTATGCTTGAATATAAAGTGAAATGTGAATTTTTGGAATAATTTTGAAAGGGGAATATATTTATTATTGTTATCATTCCTAGAAGGTATGTTAAATTATAAAATGGGGCACTGATTATTTAATTGTGCATTTCACAATTAAATGGTATATTTATAATATACCATTTAATTATGAATATGTATATGTATTAAATGAATAAATGGGGCATATGCTGTATAATGATTCTAAAAATCCTTACATTAAGGTGTTTATATATCTTAAATGTTTATTCTGTCAAACTATAACATGGTTTAATCTATTTAATTTCAACTGTTTAATTAGACCACCAAATCGAATAATGCATATTTATTACAAACAAAATCTGAAAATTGAGTAGATAATTTAAGTGGACATAGAATGTGGAAAAATTCCAATCGGACTTTCTTCTCTCTGCTCTGCCAGATCTGCTAAATGCAGTTGTCCTGTTGGCAAATTTGCCTATAAGCTTCGGATTTCCACAGCTCCTTCAGAATTATTAGAGCCTTCTGGCTGTTTCACTGAATGTTGCTCTGTCAGTTTATGTGGATGATCAGTCCTTGGCAGATTCCCACATGTGGAATACTCTTTCCAGCCTCGATTAATGGATTTAAAAGTGGCACATTGAGGTGGCTCAAGCTTGAGGTAGTATTTTCAACTTCTTCCCTAACCCATGTCTGATCTGTCCGCTGTCTTTCCTGGTCTTCAGGAAGCTAGTTATTAATTAATGTTCACAAACCACCTTGGCTTAAACAGGAGGTATTAATACTGTCAAACCATACACCTCTTAGCTTATTTCTAAGAGCAGTTTTTTCTTTCATTTATTCATATCCAAGTAGAGGAGACTGAATACACGTTCCCATCATACTTTGATTTTATTCAGAATATATATATTTTTTTAAATACATGTATAGTATCTTTAAACTCAGGTTATGCATTACTTTTTCAGTTGCATACTTTCCATCAGTATTTTAGTTTATGGTGAAAAAAAGGATCCAAGGGTTTGGCAAGGCACCAAATTTGGATTTTCCACAGCATGTGTAAAACCAGAATTTATAATGTGTACACTTATCACATTAGTATTGTTTAAATGAACTATGTTACCAAGTGTTTGTTAAATGGTAAACATGAGAACAAATAATTGAAATGATGGAGCTTTAACCACCTGGGTGAAAATGTAATGGCAATGCTTCTCTATTTAAACCCCCCTTGAAAACAGGCACATGCTGTTATTGAAATCCTTATAAGCTCTAATCAGTTCTGCAATGTAGCCCACAGACTCCTAATTATCACATTTCAGAGGAACAACGTGTCATATCATTCAATTTTTCATCCCCAGGGAGGAAAGTGGATTTTTTTTTCAACCCATCTTTTGCACAATGATGGTTGCAAACAGAAATAGATTAACAAAGAATCCAAGAACACTTAATTCCTCATCAATCCCGTCCATAGAACTGGCCTCATGGTCACTCTGTGAGTCCAACCATCCTCCTGCTTATGTCCCACAGTTTCTTGGCTGCCTCTCGGTCTGTAGCTTTGGCCATCAGCTCCTCCTCCTCACAGTTTGCGAAGCACTTCCCAGACACGCCTTTCACTTCTGGGCTGCAGGCTAGATAGAGAGGCGTCTGGGCTCCCTCCAGCGGGCTCTTTAAGAAGAACCATGAGCCGAGGTGGAACAGCGGCTTAGCCAGCAGAGGGATTTGGACGTGCCGGCCCAATCTGGTTCTCACCATGCCCGGGGTGAGGGCATTGACCGTCACCTCCGTGCCCTCCAGCTGATGAGCCAACTCCAGTGTGAACAGCAGGTTGGCCAACTTGCTCTGACTGTAGCAGGCGGCTTTGTTGTAGTTGCTTTCGCTGTTCAAGTCATCAAAGTTGATTTTGCCATACTTGTAGAGTTTGGAGGAAACAACAACGATGCGGCTAGGAGATGAAGCCTTCAGGAGATCAAGCAGCAGGTGGGTGAGGAGGAAATGGCCCAAATGATTCACTCCTAGCTGCATCTCAAGACCATCTTCTGTCTTTGAGTAAGGACACTGAAAGACCCCGGCATTGTTAACCAGCACATCAATCTTCGGTTCCTCCTGACAAAATAAAAATAGCAAGATATTTTCAAAACATTTCAGAATTTTATACATTTTATAACTCAGAGTAAATAGTATATTTGTATCTGCTTACACTTAAAACATCTAAAATACAACACTTCTCCTGTTAGGGACGACATTAAATCTATTGGTTATAAGAGGTAACTGTCATCCATTTAGCAGTTTAATCATAATTCCCTGTATGAAAACAAAAAGTCTGTATTTAATATATCAAAAAAGCTTAGTATATAGAAAATATGATGCTGTTTATTAAGTGATGTCAAAGAAATAAGGAGAATTTTTTATTTATTTAGCAAACACTGCAGCATTTTAAGATTGCAAGTTAAAACCACTGCTGACCAAAAAGAGGGCAAGGACTGTCAGAGGTTTGCCAAAATCTCTTTATGACCCCCTAATCCATTGGGTCAATTTATAAAACATTAAATTTAGATCTGGTTTATAATTAACACACAATTTCAGACTAAGACCATTAGACACACAAACAGCTATTTTGTTTGTAAAATTAGGGTTTTGTACACAAGCAACCCAAGCTCTGAATGGCTTAAAAAAAAGCTTATGATTGGTCTAGTCATACTTTGGACTTAAATCAATTTCAGATGCAGTAGTTAGGGAAGCCCACCTTCACTACATCTGCTTTGTGATAGAGTGTCAAAACTAGTTACTAGTTGGGGCATGGGGCAGTTACTTTTTCAACATAGTCTTTTATTGGTTCAGGGACATTTATTTCCCTGTAAGTAATTAAATCTGTAATTGAAAACTGCCTTAAGTTATTTTTCAGGTTACCTTTACCTGATATTGAAATGTATTTAATAAAATCTAGAAAATCTATGACGATACCATTATTTTCCCCACAGAACTGTACAGGAAATGTACCAGATACATTGATACCAAACTTCAAGAGTTATAAATACTTTTTAGGTTAATTTTAACAGTGGTACAATACAGGTGTCAATTAAACAGTACTTTAAGAGTTTGAACCGCTATTTCACAAAGAGGTTCTCTGCATTTTTCTGACTAGTTTGAAGAAAAAAACCCACAGGATATATATATATATATATATATATATATATATTTTTTTTTTTTATTATTGTAACACCTATGCTTNTTATTGTAACACCTATGCTTTAATGTTTTAAAGAATGAGTTTAGCTGCATGAATATGGCACAAAACTCAGTTCTAAACTACTGAAAAATACTATCTAATGTGAAATACATCAGAATCATCACATGGCAAGAACACTCCCCTAAAATAGCAGCTGCAGCCCAACAGGACAGCAATGGAATCCATTAAATGTCTATAATTGATTACAACAAGGAGTTGCTCTCACAGTGTAAAGCAGGGACCACCACCATACACCACGCAATATCCTCCAATCTACTGGATATCCAATGCAGTTCTATGCAGCTCCATGTGAACAGGTGGCATCTCATTGGCATGGAGCCAGGGTGTGAATATCTGGGTGATTTTTTTTTAGTTTTTTTTATGAAATGTAAACTTTCTTTTTTCTTAAGGGAGAAATTACAAAAAGAGCTGCTGCAGAAAAATCTAAAGATACCAATTGGGTTAAAACATTTTAAAATTATATTTAATTATATAATGTTTTACTTACCAAGGCAGGATAACAACATGCAAAATATGTACTTTAAACTGGCATAAAAACAGTCGATGTTTTTACCCATGTAATAATAACCTGAAATGATTTATCAGAAGGAAATTAGAGCATCGTTGATGTATCACTCTGATCTGTCAATGTTGATTTGTGAGTGAATTTATCGATTATAAAAGTTCAGATTGTTTTAAGTATCTTTACTTAATAATCAACATTTCCAACAATTTTCTATATACACTTTAATCAAGAATGAGCTCATTTGTTGTTTAATCTAAAGAATAAAAGTAAAAATAAGTATTTTTGCCAATAAATTAGCTGAACCTTTGGTTCAGCACCATGGACAGCCCCCCGTAAACAACGGAAAAAAAACGCAACAATAGGTGGACTGTGCTGGAACCCAGCTGTTAAACAAACCAACATCTTTCCATCTATATTGTCACCTTGTTAATTTCTTCACAAAAAGTCCGGACAGATCGAAGGGAAGCAAGATCTAGATGCTTAATGACCACCTCCCCTTGCTCTGGCCCCGCGCGTCTCTTCAGGTCCTGAGCCGCCTCCTCGGCGCTCCTGAGGTCCCGGCAGGCCATGATGACCCGGGCGCGGAGCTTCAGCAGCTCCCCAGCCAAGGCCATCCCTATCCCACAGTTAGCCCCGGTCACAATCACAGTCTTTCCACGCATAGTGTCAGTTGGATACTGAAGCAGCTTTACCACTTTCCTCCGGGGGAAGAGACGGCGCATGAGGAGCAGAACCCCGCCGCCAACAACAGCGGCTATTAACACTGCAGTTGACATATATGGACCGGCTGCAGGTGGACAACTATGTGACCACTGAGCGCCACGGTGTGTTATGTATACAGGTTATAAAATTAACCCGGAAATGAATGTGACAGGAAGCATACTAACTGTTTCAAATTGTATATTTATATATCAAAGTAATTACTGTAATTTTAACATATAATACCGTATATTTCTCAAAATATATTAATATGAGCCGATAACTAAGTAGCATATAGATTAACATTAAAATCTGAGCCATTTTACTTAAATCTTCCGGGTTACAAACGGAACTTGACTCGCTCCTTATCGGTCAGCCGGCGCAGGAACCAGATAAAAGTGATAACAAACAGCGAAGGCGGGGATTGTTCTAGAAAGTAGACTTTCTTTGCCCTTGTGTTACAAATGCTGGAGCGGTGGGGACAGTGTTATTGTTTTTTTGTTTGTTTTTTTTCATGGAGGCACCATTTAGAAGTATGGAAAAACAAATGATAAAATAAGTTCATCTTTTAATAAAATAAATGAACCTACAGAGAATTATTCCCACATTAACTTTTATCAGCAGCATACCGTCCAGCAAAAACACATTTATTTTAACTTTAAAAAAGAAAATCAGCCCTGATTATACTGTTACTTGTAGGATGCAGAAACGGACAGACATGAATGAAGCTTCCGGGATGTTGAGAGAAGAATACTCTATGGCTAAAACTATATTAGTCAATATCAATTTAAATTAAGTTACTTTAGTAATTAAAAAAAAAGAAAGAAAAAAAAGAAAGATTGTGCGGGAATTTAATTTTGGTTAGATATTGTTTTCATGTTTAAAATTATCAGAAGTGCCAAGTAACGAAGTACAAATACTTCATTGCTGTACTTAACTACACTTTTCAGGCATCTATATTTTACTCCATTACTTTTTTTCTTCCTACTTCTGACTTCTACTATTTACATTTTCACACAAGTATCTGTACTTTCTACTATACATTTTTTAAAACAAATGTTACTCTTGGCTTTGGTTTAATGTTTATAAATATTTATTTCACATCATGTGCGCCATCCAATGCAGATCATTGGCGCCATCCACATCTTGTGAAAACTAGTGTAATTGGATGAGTCATATAACGCAAACACTCATTGGTTAGTTAAAGAAAATCATCAGAAGCAAGCAGGTGTTCTTCAAACTACAAACGTGAATTGCTACAATGTGGGATTCAGAAAAAGATTAAATGTCTGAAAGGTCGGACACAGGCGAGAGCGTATCGGGAGATGGAGACCAACAAGAGCTCCCTCATCCTTGCCTCTATCTCAAAGAATTTCTCAAAATAGTTGAAAATTGAGCTTTCAATTCATATAGTGGCATCAGGCTGTTTTTTTAAAGGTTACTTTATACTTTTATACTTTAATTAGTTTTTGGAGCACATACTTATTCACTTTCACTTGAGTAAAGAGGTCAAGTTGATACTTCAACTTTTACCAGAGTGTTTTTCAACTGCAGCATCTATACTTCTACTTCAGTAACAAATGTGTGAATTTTTGACACCACTGAAAATCATAGAAAACACTGGCTTTGGTTTATATTGTGACTCAGAATTTATTTAAGGTAGAAAAAAAGCCAGGCCTTTGCTGATGTGACTGACAGAACACCAGCAATGCTTGGCATAAAGTCTCGAGACGTGGGTTAAGGAAGTTTTACTGGGTTGATTCAATAAATGATACGAAGTTCAACCTGGAGCCAGAATCCACTGTGATTTTCTAAATGAACTCAAGGAATAACATGCTCCCTGATGCAATAATATCCATAATGTGTTTTTCACACTTTTTTAATGTCGTGCTATTTTTTCTTTGTGTTTTGACAAAAGCATCTGGACAATAAAGTGCTGCTTACTCGACTATATCTGTAAAGTGTGCTTCATATTGAGAGCAAACTCCGCCCACACGACGCGCAGTTTGCTTCACCAACTTACAAATGGTGCTGAGCTACTGTACAAGTGTTTCTCGCTTTGAAAGACGAGATGAACATAATATTGTATTCATTTAAACGGTCATAGAATGCAACGTTAATATCTCTATATATTAAAAAAAAAAAGTTTAAAATTGATTTTATTCTTTTTTTTTTTTCCAAAGCATTGTTTGGTCCTACAGACCAAAACAATGCTTTACACAACCACTAGAGAGCGCTGAAAACTAAAGGCTGGTTAGACAGTAACCACAAAGAGGATGTTTCTAAGTCAGGTTTCGAAACATTTGGAAAAAAAAGTAAAGACTGAACAAACATTTGTTACTAAATCTTAGATTTCACAAATATAAAAGATAACTGAAGTATAGCTTTTATAGATGTATAAACTATAAGTAAACGTAACAAACTAAATAAATGAATATTGAAAACTGACCACAAATGCACAATAATGCAGACAGAAACACTCTTAAGAAGAACTGCTGACTTATATAAATCCAATTGACACTCAGATCAATTTGTGTTACTTGACAAGCGGAATGCCCTGAAAATTTGGGGGTGGGGGGTATATTTTGATTTGAAGCCCGTACAACGTCAGAGTCAAAACCTTAGGCATGACATGGACATGACATTTGACTTTATTACAAAGTATTTAATGTAGCCTACCTCTGTAGAAATGAATACACAGCTTGAAAACGAACACAAGTAACTGATATGTAAAAACAAATAGTGTAAAAATAAAATATATATATATATATATATGTATATATATTTTATTTACACAAAAAGTTTTCCCTTTTCCTTCATCCTTAATATGGGACGGTGAGTGATGATGTCATTCAGTTACAATCAGACAGGCAAGGCAAGGCAAATTTATTTGTATAGCACAATTCAGTACAAAGACAATGCAAAGTGCTTTACATGATTAAAATATAGGAAAATAAAACAGAACCAAAGAAAGTAGGAAAAAATAATAAAGAAATAAAATAAAAAACGCAGAAGCAAAAAAAATATTAAAAACAGTTGGACTAAAGAAAATAAAAAAGTTGAACTAATGATGTTTCAGTTGAACTGTTTCACTTGAACAGTCGAAGGCAATCCTAAACAAAAGCCAGGTACCCAGATAGATCAATTTCCTCATTATTACCAGATTAGTAGGTATGGTAGATGTTTTTTTTTGTTTTTTTTGTGTGTCTTATTTTGTTTTCTGAAGGCAAACAGGGAATAGATACCCAGATCTCAGACCACAACGGTGAATGTATGAAGTTAAATCAAAAGTACCCCTATAAACAGGGAACCAGATAGAAAGACAAATAATCAAATTAAAACCTGAACGCCAAACGCGTGTTTTCTGTTCAAAAAAAAAAAAAAAAAAAAAAAAAAAGAAGTTGCCATTTATGTTTATTTAAAAAATAATTCTGGACAGTAGTGTAAATAAACAGTCGAAAATTAAAGATAACATAAAAACAAGTGTTTACTTTAATTTCAATAAAAAAGAAAACATCAAAAGAGAAAATGTACTCGAATATTTGTTCCGCATTTATTGTCTTTTAAATTGCTGATTGAGGCAATTAAGACGTCTTATCTGTAGCTTTTTATCAGAAGCATTAAAAAAAAAAGATTCAAAATGGAGTAAGGGAGGCGTCTGAAGTGTTTGGAAGTTGCCCACAAGTTGCTTCACTTCCCCTTTCATTCGCGGAGCGTTTCCAGTTAAGTAATGCGTCCCGTTTATTTCAGGGTTTGCTGAAGTTCCTGTTAGTTGAAGGCTGAAATTCTGCGGTGAAATAGAGTAAATGCGCTGCGGCGGACTGTAGAAATCTGTTGCAAAAAAAAAAAAAAAACATGTGACTGAGACGATTTTATCCGTTTTAATCCTAGAATTTCACTTGCGTCGATTTTCTTGAGAATTTGATATAAGGAGAAGTTATGCGTCTCTTTCTGGTTTCGGTTATGCTGGCTGGGGTTCTCTCCATTTGCAAAGGTAGGAAAAACTTTATTTATTTTGCATGTTGTTGATAAAAATAATAGATAAAAATAATAGATGTAAGCATATCTATCTATCTATCTATCTATCTATCTATCTATCTATCTATCTATCTATCTATCTATCTATCTATCTATCTATCTATCTATCTAT